CTGAAAACAAATGGCCATTCCTTTGGAACTGAAATAGTTTCTCCTACAAGCAGAAAATATTAATTTATTTGAAGTCTCGATTTGTCTGTTTTAAATGAAAACCATTTTGGTGTGTGTGATTCAACCTAAGGAAGAGAAAGGCACTTGTACAATTCTTTAAAAAGTTCCATACGAGATCACGAGTCCTAGAATTCTTGGGAAATGACTTGTTAGAGATAGTTGAGAGGTCCGGTTTTAACCATCAAATCTGATTTTGTTTCATCTTTTGTTTAAATCTTTGAATTAGTAGGAATTGTTCTCCTAGCTCAGAAAGTAGTGTAGAGAGCAGCACTGTGTAATCCATCTCTTGGTGGTGGTAGAAATATCTGTGCTCTCCAATATGGCAGCTGCCAATCCCATAGGGCCTTTTAGCACTTAAACTATATTTAGTGTGACTGAAAACTGAATGTTAAATTGTATTTAATTTTAATTTAAAAATTTTTGAAGAGTCACATGGGGATACATATTAAAAGTGCACGTAGAATATAGTTACCAGTTAGCATATTTCTCCATTGTATTATCACCTACATATCTGAATTTTAATTTGGAAAATGTGGCAACTATTAATGTATCTGAGAAAGTGAAGATTACTTCTAAGTAAGCCTTTGAACTGGCATGTATCAAGATAGGTGGTTATGAAAATACAGGCTGAAAATTAGCTTGTTAGATTTCATTTTCCTTTGCTCTTTTTAATAAGAGAATTGTGAACATTTTCTGCTTAATTAAAGTTGCTATTGATTGAGGTTGAGCTCTTCAGATGATTCAGAACCAGTGTAATTAAGCATAGGAGAGAAAAAAATTACATCATAGCCATTGCAACTACAAAATAAAATTACATAACTGATGAGTCTTAAGTCAGCAAGTAGTTCAGACATTATTTGAATAAAAAAAAAAAAAAACCCTCATTTAATGTGAAAAATCACCATAAGCCCCCAGTGCTTTAAGGGTTTAGGGCTTAGAAATTGTTTTATCTTTGACCTGCCTGCTCTTTGAACCTAGTTAACCCACAGAATTTCAGCAGGAGCTGCCTTGATAGTCACTTCTTTGTTCTGTTTTGTTTGTGTTGTTTCTAATTCTTCTTCCTTCATTTTATAACACTCATCTTTTTTTTGTTGTTTGATTGTACTGTTTATTTTTGTTCCTGCTAAAGCCAATTGCTCTCCCCCTCCACCCTTCTTTGGTCAAAATATTTCTCTAAGAATCAAGTACATATAAACTGATTTCTACTTGGACTTTATCTGAAGGGGACCTACTAAGATTCAAAACTCACATCAAAGGGAACTGAAGGAAGAAAGTGTGTCTGGATTAAAGCAGAAGAAAGGGAGAAAAAGATTTTAAAAATTAAATTTATTTCTAATTACAGAAGTAATTTATGTTTATTGTGGAAACATTGGATCTTCATACAAACAGCTCTATCTCCTTCCATTTTTTTCTATGCACATTTATGTGTGTGTATCAATTATTTACATGTTATGGTCATGTGTAATATTCACAAATGATATATAGTCTTGTTCTTAAATTTTAGTTTATCGCATTTTCTCCACTAATAAATTTTCTTCTAAAGCATACTCTTTATCACAATATTCCTTCAGATAGATACAGTAAAATTTAAGTAAGATCCACTTTTTCACTTATATAGATGATGCTGTTATCAACATCTTTGCACATATCTTTTCATGCATTTCGATGACTCTCTCAGGGTAATTCCTAGACATGTACTTGCACTCTTGAAAAATTATGCATATGGAAGCTCTCAACAACCAAGAGCGAATGAGTGCAGAGAAGATTTCCAATTTATTCGTGACATGTGAATGGTTATAGTGAAATGAGATTTTCCTTGGGTTTACTTAACTTCATCTGTCTCTAACTTAATTTCAAAGACATAGCACAACTTAGTAAATAATCTACTTTTGTTTTGTTACTAATTTAATAATTCTTTAGATTTCAGTTTGGGTTTATTAATGTATTTATGATCATTATTGCTATTTATTTCAGCCTGGGCTTTGGGTCTTTGTCATTAGTATCTAGTAATTTTCTTCCATATTTGATTCAAATACTATATGCAACATTGGGCAGCTGCAACATTGGACAGCTGACTAAGCCTGAGTTTTAATGAATTAGAAGCACTCAGTTTTATTCAATTTACATCAGCTATGTTACTGTATATGGTGACATTTACATGCCGGAATTTTGTCACTTGTGGCTATCTGCCACAGTTGGGGAATCAAGAAATAAAATAGTCTCAAAGTGACTGTGGGCCTTCCAGAATAGCAATTCCAAGGTCAATGTCCTTTATTTTGTTAGGGAGAATGTGTATATAAAATAAGCTATAGCCCTGGCCGGTTTGGCTCAGCGGTAGAGCGTTGACCTGTGGTCCAGAGAAAATAAGCTATATATTAGAAGATGTTAATACACATTAACCAAAAGGAGAAGGTGGAGGAGGAGGACAAAAAGCCAAGAGCAGAGTGGAGCAGGTAGAATGAGAGACTAATATGGGACAATTTAAAAGAAGCATAGGAACCTTACCTCTGAATTCCAAGGCAACACACCTCACTGATGGATATTCATAAGTCTCATTCTGGACCATCAAGGAGATGCTATGTTGTGGTTAATAATCATTGTTTAATGTGATAGAACAATTTTCATTATAGAAGACTACCATGAGAATGATTATATTAAAACACATGTTTGGACATTTAATATACAAGTTTCATTTTCTTATTAAAATTATCTTGTGCAGTATACCTCATTCAATAATGACTAGTCTTCAGAGTCCAAAGCCTGCCATTTTTCCAGTAATTCAAAATGTGATTTGAATGTGTTTATATACACACATGTATAGTTTGAATTATTATAAAGGGAAAATTATTTTGTTAATGACTTTCCCAAATCTAGAATCCTCTTCTATCAGAAAAATTGAAAGCAACTCCAGTCTGACTCCAAAGTTTGTGTTCTTTTCAGTGTCACACACAATCTGCAAGTAACATCATCGCTTACATCCTGAAAATTTTTCTCAATAGGAATAAATATAATGACAATATTTTCATAAGCTGTGGAAGACAAAATATGTGTGTGGGGCATATATTTGAAGAATATGCTACATATATATTTTATCCCCACTTATCAGATATTTTTTTTCAGGAAAGTCATTGACTTTAATGATGTTCAAATAATTCTCCTCAGTCATGGTCATATAAGCTTTGCACCATTAGAAGAGACAGTTTGCTATAATGACATAAATGATGGGGGTCCTCATGGGATGTCATGATCCACCAATCAGTTATGACCCATGATTGAAAACACTAGCATAGAAATAGAGTGTGTCATCTACCCAGAGTTAGACATTTCCAGAGTTGGTTAATTTAGGGACACAATGATGCCACCAAAAACCTAGGGGCTTTCCACCTTTCTATTTGCTCCTCCCTGTCACAAAATGGCAGACACAGCTCCAGGCATCATATCCTCAAACAAATAGATCCAAAGACAGAACAGCACTTTTTATGTGTGTGTGTGTGTGTGTGTGTGTGTAATGAAAGGGTAATCTCTTTTTCTAGAAGCTCCTCCTCTCCTAGCAGACTTCTCTTTTGGCCTCATTCAGTGTTTCGGTTCCACCACAACTCATCCCTAAACGAATCACTGGCAAAGGGAATAGATGCCATATTTGGTATGGATATGGTATGTGATAGAGATCAATACTATAATTGACATGGAGGAGTGAACATTCATTTCCTGGCACAGGGAAGGAGGCTTATTTCTCCTGAGCTTGTGGAAGGCCAGATGCTGGGATGAATTCTAACTCTGCCAATAGGGAATAAGTGGTGAGGAAAGCTGTTGGACAGCTAGCAACGATGTCTGCTGTATTCGCCAGAGCATCCTGACTATACTGCTGTCATAGTGTTACTGCTGTAAGGCCTTCTCTTATTATTTGTGAGCTTATATTATTCCTTTGGTTCTAGATTACTTAAGGATAGGAACTTACTATTTTCACTAGGACATGAAATAGTATCTTGTCCTAGAGGGTGATTAATAAATATTTACTAAATTGATTAAAATTGTCCCATGCCAATTGATTAAAAGCTTTCTTACTTTTTTAATTGAATCGCAATTCTTTAAAATCAAGCTATTTATTTGAATATTGATACCCTACTGATAAAGTGATGTTTATTCATTTCAGAAAATGATTAAGAGACCTTAATAATAAAAGTATTAGAATAAAGTTACTATGGATGCTGTGCCATATAAACCCTAAAAAGAATGTTTACAGTTTTGTGTGGGTGTAGGCAAGGATTCAAATATAAATATGAGTGGGAAATAAATCTTGTGTTGAGTCCACTTTATGCATCTGTTAACATTTTGGAGACTATACAGTACAATTTATCATCTTAAAGATTATGAAATGAAATAAATGACTTATATGTAAAATCACTGTGATTACTTGAAGCTCTATTTAATAAAAATTTCCTTTGGAAAACTAATTATCTTAATAATTTAAAATTCAATGCATTATTCATATCACATAATCTCATTTAAAAATATTTTTCAGTAAAATGAGAACAAAAGACCAGATTTTATTTACTAATGTGGTGTGAATTATAAAGTCAGTGTTCCAAGTCTTAATTAGTTGTGTAAATATAAGCATTTCTCAAGAGATTATCTTTTTCAATGTAAAGAATTCTTCCTATAAACTTCCCTTCATTTGGTTCAGTTTCAGTGACAGTACATGTTTATAATTTTTCACTTTATCAACTATTATAACTAATATATAAACTGTTTTTAAAAGGATTTGAAATAGTATATTTTAAATTTTTTTCTAAAAGAAATATAGTACTCATTTGTCTGGAAAATGGTCAAATTGTAGGTATAAATGAGCAGTTCCTACCTTACTGAAGAATAGCCATTATAAATTGTTCTCTCAAGTGACATGAAATTTTAAATTTAATTTAAAACAAAGACATGAATAGTTTTTAAAACATTTTTATTGTTTGCTAATGGTACTTATTTTTAGTTACAGAATTTGCTAAGTAAAGTGATGCTAGGCACAAATCATTGTCATTCTAAAAGCAACTGAAGTATTTACTTCAGTTCTCTTCTCTTTTTCTGATCTTTTAATCCTGAAAAAAATACCAAAATAACAATTAAAATAATTTGCAAATATTCCTAGTGAGCATCATTTACAATAAAACATGTAGCTTCAGTTTTGTCAAAACAATGTACAACCATTAAAGTTTGACTCTATAATTTTTAAAGTTTCTTTTTTATCTCATTGACATTAGAAATGAGGTATCCAGGAAGGAGGTCCTGCCTTCGGGACACTTAAAACTATTAGTTAATAATAAAATAACAATTGCTACCGTTTACTGATAACTTTCTGCATGCCAGGCTCTGAGCTCATCACTTTATTTTCCATAAAACAACTCGACGAAGCTATCAATATTTATACCCTATTTTTACACAGGAGTTTTAAAAAGTTTAAACTATCTATTCAAAGTCACCTTTTTCTAAATAGCTCTGGCAGGACATGAATACATTATGAAGTTCATGGCCTTAATTATTAATAAAGAGATAAATAAATGTGTTTTCTATACAAAGAGAGAGCATGTACCTTAGACTAGAATAATCAACTATAGGCGCCAGATTATTTGTGATACAATCAATTTTCAAAAATCCTGCCCCATAATCTCCATAAATGTGAAACCACATTTGGCATATAAGTTTTTATTGGAAAAAATTTGGTATTTTTACTTGGACAGAGGCTTGAAAATTATCTGATTTAGTTACTTTCATTTTAAAGAAGGAAAAACACCTATACATTTGAAATAACTTGTTTAATAACATTTCCTTTTTGGGAACAAAGCCAGAACTGGAACCTAGGTATCCTGACTCCCTGTCCAATTCATTTCCACCTCATCCCTCATGGCTTCTCAGTAGAAAATCATCAGTAGCATTTATAATTTGGGATTACAGTCGAATGCATAGTTATAATAGAATGATATCTCATATACACAGAAGTAAGAGTTTATGAATATGGATAGGGGTCATTTATTTTATTGGCTATATTTCTCACTCATTTGAAAGAGCTTTCTGCCATGGGAGCAGATTTTGTGTTTGATTGTGTAAACTTCTTGCTATACGCTTAATCTATAAACCCCAGCACTGAAAAGGAATCTGACAATCTGTTTGGTTTAGGTTCCTCCAAGTTAAATTACAAACCACTTTCGATAGGTAATCTTCTGGTAGGTCTTTTAAAAGACTTACATATTCAAATATTTGCATCCATCCCCTCACTCTCAAAAATTGTCCTTAAAAAAAAATCTTCAGTGCAATTCTAGCCTACTCTTGCTAGTCTAACACTTGAAAGATAAGAACAGATATCCTTTCATACTATTGTCCTTAAAGTTAATGGGTTTCAGTAATACATATTTTGGTAGGAATTAAAGAATTTAAACCTACTATAAAGCTATGGTCTTAATTACTAAGTCATGTAGATAAACTTGTTGATAATATAAAGTTACAACACATGCTTGTACTAATAGAGTCGATGACCTATAGCTACTGAAACTGAGGAACCTGGATTGTTTGAGAACTTAGAACTCTGGTGGCCAATTTTGCTTTACCATTTTCACAGGTGTCGTAGTGGTCTCAGGATATACTCACCACTTCCTCCCGCTTGGTCTTGTCTGTTGCTGGCCAAGCTTCCAGAGGCAGGTCAGGAAGCATTGGGGGCAGGGGCTGCATGGGGAACATCGGAGGCAGAGGTGGCTGTGGTGGCAGGGGCTGGATGGGGTGCACGGGTGGCTGGGGCTGGATGGGCTGGTGAGGCTGTGGCTGGACGGGCTGGGGCTGGAAGGGCTGCTGGGCGGGCGGAAGGAGGTTTGGCTGGTGGTGTTGGGTTGGAGTCATGGAGTGTTGGCCAGGAACTGGCATCATTGGTTGCTGGGGGACCACGGGCTGCTGAGCTGGCACCACGGGGATGTGGTGATGAGGCTGTAGGGCGTGATTCGGGGGATTCTGCTGGGACAGCACGGGAATGATTTGGTGGTGCAGCCATCCACCCATGGGTTCGTAACCATAGGAAGTGTACTGGTGAAAAACAAAGAGTCAGGTTTACCATTGGCTCCATTGACTTCCAACTGGAGTAGTGACAATATGAATATTTAATTCATTTTTCCTGTGCAAGATTTTCTAACTGTGTACACAGATAGGACCTTTTACAAACTAGACTTCCTATTAGTGTCATATGTGGCATAGATATGTTATTTCATTCAAAAGGGAATTGAAATGCATGCTTAATATTTTAAGAGAATAAAGAACAAAATATTTACACACCGGCTGCCTTATCATGCTTTGATACCACTTCAGAGGAGTAAGCACCTTAAGAGAAAGAAACAGTAAAATACATTTGTTTAAATATAGTTACATGAAATATACATTAAAAATGCAGTCCTATCAATATTGTTAATCTGAAAATATGAGTTCTAAGGAATAAACATTTCTCAGGTGCTTCCTGTGCGTTAGACACTATGTTATATCCAGCACACACATTTTTCATGTTTTCTCACATACTCTGAGGCAAGTATCATCACCCTCACTTTTACAGACAAGTCATTGAGTATTAAAGAAGTTCATGAGCTTGGCTGAGGTTACAAAAGTAGTAATTCTATTTAATTCCACAACTCTTGCTCTTCCTTGCAAGAGCAAAACAAAACAGAAAAATTAATGTGACATAACAGTACTCATATTATTTTTTTGATTTGATGTCACAATGAAAAAAAAATAAAGGAGTCAGAAACACTGTTCCTCATCCTATAAACATAGGTTTTCCGGTCAAAGATGTCAACCTTTTCAGGTTTAACAGAATATCTTGCCTCAAATTCTTAATATTTTTCCTCAGCTTGCATGAGTAAATAGACTCACAGATTGCCATATGAACCTATGAAAGAAGTAAGAGTTTTATTCCTTTTCTAAAAGTACATATCTAGGTAACCTCAGGTGCAAGGACTCCTTTAATATAGTGCTACAGCATTTGATATCAATACAACACACAATTATTCACTTTGCTCAAGTTATACCTGATAAAGCACCTTTTATGTTGCTTAACTATTTTGCTCCCCAAACAGTATTTTGAAGTGTTGGTATGATTATTTTCCTTCTACAAATAAGGAAAACAAATTTCCAGAGAAAGAAAATGATTTGCCCAAGGTCACATGGTCAATATGGGGTTGAGGAGCACCTCAAACCCGATTACTATTTTATTGCTCTGAAGAATGTCTCATAGACTACTTGTCACTAATCTTTCAGTAAAGACAAGTGAGGGAGGCACATGGAGTATGAACTTCTTAGAATTATTTTTCTAGTTGGAAAGGATCTTAAGATCTTACCTGATTCCTCACATTTTAGGGGCTAGGATAGAATAAATCTGCTCAGCCAGAGATTAATTCTGCCCTGCCATGCAACCCCCTGAATGAAGGTTCATGATGGATACTTTTATAGCCATATAAGTAAGAGAGACTGAGTCAGAGAGGCCAGGCAGGAGTGTGCTGGGGCAATGCAGGCTTGAAGCAACTCATCAGGGCTTAAACAAGGAAGCTAGTAGTGGGAACTGAAAAAGTGGAACTGTGAAACATCTTAGAAAAAGAATCAACACACTATTCTTTACAGAGCCTTGGACATTATTAACTCAAACAATGGTCAAAATTAGTAAAGAGAAAAATTACCTCATAGCTGAAGTTGATATAACCAGGGTGCCCAGGATGAGGTGGTAGCTTTTATAGGGAGGGAACAAGGAGAAGAAAATGAAAGAGGGAGAGGGAGAGAGGAGGAAAAGGGAGAGAGGAAGAGATTAAGTCAATATGCAATTGTTCACATTAAGAGAGACTGAAGCTTCTTAAAAAATCTATAATGCAGAATATATTTGAGGTCGACTTTAGTTTGAACATGGATGCTGTGTAGGAGAGGAACCCTTTTATTTTAAAGAGGTCCAGAACAACTAAAAGACTTTCCTCAGGGTTGCAATCTTATGATGGGAGACCTGGAAGCAGGAACCAGCACATATTTATCCTCCAGTCATCTTCAGACACCCACCATCCATGAATCAATTAATGATTAATTGATGTCAATTAATCCTAGTCATTCGCACCCACCATCTTACTTCTTGATAAAACTCACTCCATGTTGAGAAGAGATAATATTTCTCTTACACAATTATGAAATACCAACAACAAAATCATCTCACAAACTTTCCCTTATAGATCAGGAGGTGGAGGAGTGCTTAAGTTTCAAAGAGATTCCTCATAATTCATGTGCAAAGTAAATAACACAACAACAACAGAAGAAGAAACAACTACATGTGAATTATTGATGAATATGAGAACAAGATGGGTTCAGTGAAGTGGAAACATTATAAATCCCCATGGAAAATGAAAGAGTTGATTTATGAAGTTTAGGCTGATCCTTTTTACTGCTCTGTCAATGTTTTTATAGCAGAAACATTCAAAAGTTCAAATTAAAAAACAATCTGAATAATTATCTAAACCAGGACTCTCAGTCCTGTGCAAAGGGCAGGCCAAGTGACTAATGCCTGCATTCTAGAGTTCTGGTTGGCCTTGGAATGCGTGAGAGGCAGGGGAGAGAGAGAATCATGCAGAATGTGTTCCTCAGACATCAAGCTATTTAAAGCTCTATTCTTTTAAATGCTCATGTTTCATAAGAAGGTTAATTCACTCTCATCTGAGTGTGAATTATTTTAGTCAAGTAACTGCCTTTTCTATATCTTCTTGATGTAAACCCTCAGAGAGTAGGGGTGTTGAATTGAGGAATGGAAAAGGGGATGAATTTGTAATGCAGAGGCTCCACAGGGGACTAGGAATCATCACAATGTAGGATTTCAGGAAGGCAGAGCACAGAATCTTGGTCTTGTGGATGAGAGAGGAAGAGAGGAGGCAGATATAGAAGCTTTGCTGGCTTCTGGTTGTATCAACTGCTCTTTATGCCACTGAAAAGCAGATGGGTCCTACTTTGCCCTTATGTGATCTGAACTCTCTGATCTTTTGTACTCATGTCTAGGGAGAATGGGTCAGACTTCCTGGTCCTGGGTATATTTGAATGTAAAGTATGTCCATATGTAGTGGGCATAGGTAGGATTCCAGACAAACATACAGAAGTCATGTGCTTAGCAGGTACACCCAAAAGGATGAGGCCTCTGAGAACAGGCAGATGGTTTAAGAAGGGAGTTCCTAACACAGAAATCATACCCTCTGAAGGATACAGCAGTGGAGTTTGGAGAGCAGGAAGAGATCCGGACACTTGCAAGAAATTGGGTTTTAGAAAAAAATGGCATTTTTGTAGTATTTGCCTGAGGCTGATTTAAGCACTTTCTCTAGAGGCCTTTCAAGGGTCCCTTCCAAAAGTTTCCTTCATCTAGAGGTGGACAATTATATTTACAAGCTTATTGTTTCACCAGAGTCTCTTTGGTGCTTATTAAAATGCAGAGTCCTGGACCCCCTCCCAGCTGTACTAAATCAGAACCTTCCGTGGAGGCATCTGAGGACCTATTTTTTTTTTTTTTAATAACAAGCTCTAGTGTTTTTTAAACAAAAAAATATTTGAAGACATCTTATCTTAACACTGTTTTAAATCCCAAAGTTTACCAACTATAAGACAGTTTTACTTCCAAGCTTGTGAAAATGGACTTTGATGTTTATAGGGGGTGTTTTACTCACGGGCATAGCAAAGGCTGCTCCCAGGAGGCAGGCAAACAAAATCCAGGTCCCCATTTCTTGATGGCCCTGAAACATATCAACACACACTTTTTTTTATCTCTTCTCAAATATGGATATAATCAAAGTTCCATAAAACCCAGATAATCAATATAGGTCTGTTGCTAATGGAAAAGATGGGGCCATTCCTTATGAGGTTACTTCATCCATATGCAATTCCCAGTTCTTAGCCCATTTTTGTTGTTTCTGGAGTCACAGTAGTGATAAAGATGCTTTATCTATCATTGCAGTATTTTGCATGCCATTTTCCTATACCCATATAGCTTATAGAGTCATAGAAGATAAGTGTAACTTATAATTAATGATTAAAAGAATAGAATTGGCCATAAAATTGAGGAGAGCATGAAGGCACCATATTTGATACTTTTAGAACCAGAAGGCAGAGAATTTTTTTTTTGTACAGTCTACCTGAGCATTGCTACTGTTAAAAACAAAGTCTAATCATCAAGAAAAGACATTAAATAAAATGCCAAAATATGCACATTGCTTAGTGGTGCAAATTATTGACTAACTTTGAAAACTTTCAGAAAAAAAGACCTTAAATTTTGCATAGGAAGTGAATATCATGTATAATAATGCTGGCTATGGAAAGTAGACTGACATCTTCTACCTCCTAAATCTGTTTTTAAAAGTTTGAATTAACGATGCCCAGCTGATGTGGCCTAGTGGTTGAGCTTCAACCCATGCACCAAGAGGTGCCAGTTCGATTCCTGGTCAGGGCACGTGCCCAGGTTGTGGGCCAAATCCCCTGTGGGGGACATGCAGGAGGCGGCCAGTCGGTGTTCTCTCTCATCAATGTTTCTATCTCTCTCTCCCTCTTCTTTCCTCTCTCTCTAAAATCAATCAATCAATTTTTAAAAAAGTTTGAATTAATGAGAAATTTTTTTAGTTGATTCTATTTGATGTCATTAAATAAAATGTTTTACAAAGTAGTGAATAGCAGAGTATGAAAAATTATTTATTTATTTATTTTTTAATTTTATTTTTGTTACAGATGTTTCTCCTTTTTTACCCCATTGACACCCTCCTCCCCATCCCCACCCTGCCCCATCCCTGGCTTTGTTGTCCATGTCCATTGGTTATGCATACATGCATATAAGTTCTGTGGTTTATCTCTTGATAAGTAATTAAAATAAACACTTTGCTTTGAAATTTGGCTTCAAAGAGCGCTTTAGGATTTGGAACTAAATTTTAAAGAAATATAGATACTTGGCCGCATTAGAAACTAACATAACTCATTTAATAATCAGAGTAGTTTAATTAAGGTCTAACTGAAGAAGTAACTGAATATTAACAGCATAAGTATTAGAAATGCAGAATATATTTTTAACTTGAAATGTAGAAAAAGAAATAAGTACAATAGAAGGAATCCCAAATAATGAATGAAATCCACATACCTTGGAATATGTGTATTCAGAGTAAGTTTCTGTCTGAAACTCAGGGATGCTTGATCCTATAGATTTCTTCCAACTAAGAGCTCAATTTATATCATTCACAGCATCTAGAACAACCAATCAGGTTTCTGAAGAAAAAATGTGTTGAGTATAACTAAAAATTCCTGTATCATGAATTTTTAGAACCTATGATCAAACATAAAACTGTATGTTGTGATTAGTGCATATGGAGTCTTTCATTATGGGAAATAATAGGTTTAACAAGCAAAAAAATTCATCACACTGTTTTTAAGTCAGCAAATAAATTGACTGCACATGCTGATATATTCAAGTTTACTTTTATTTATTTATTTATTTTTATCCTCACCCGAGGACATTTTTCCATTTCAAGTTTACTTTTAAGAAGCAGCTATGTCGTTGTCTATCTGGTTCTAGCAAACATAACATTGTTCTTTACCAAAAAAAAAAAAAAAAAAAAGTTAGACGGTTGAGTTTCTATCTATAGTGTAATCAAGATATCCCCTAGGGTTCCCTATCCCCATAAATCCCCATTCTGGTAAAACTCCAAAGATCTCCCCAATATTTTTCTTAGAAATTATAATTTTGGGATCATTAGTGTTCTATTTTCTATTGTCATTGAAGGTACTTTCTCTGTTCCCTGTGGCCATTCCTTTAACACCATTTTGGTATCCACCAAAAGAGGGGTCAAAGTCTATTCTCCTTGGCCCCATCCTACAGCCCATCTACCATCCAAGCAGCCATGAACTTGAGGTTATCACTTTAGCGAAACGTTTACTAATGGTCTAAAAGACAAGGCAGCAAACATATCACACACCTTTTAAGACTTCACACTTAAAAATGTATTTTGATTCTTATAAACAAATATGCATCAGAGGGAACATTGCCTTGGCTCTCTCGTCCCACATAGCAACTCAATCTTTCTCAGTATGATGGCCCTTTTTTGCGCACATCTCTCTTTCTCTTATAAGCAAATCCAAATCTCCCTCTTTCTTTTTCAGAGCCTCTTAACTGTCCCCTTAGTTGCATTGTCTCCATGTTCTCAGCAGTGTCTCCTTTGCCTAAACAGCAACAACCAAAGTCATTCTCTCTAAGAGGATCTCTGATCTAGCTATTAAATCCATGTCTTTTACTCTTCTTGTTTAGTAAAGCATATCGATTTTTTATTTTATTCTAGAATTGGATCAATTAAAAAGCAAAATTGTAACTAGTGATAAGAGACAGTTGATGAGTTGTCTATCAATACTATATCAATAAAAGAAATACTGATTATATACCCAGATGTTATTGCCAGCATAGCCAGATTTCTTTGACTACTTAAAAATATTTTTTAAAGTATGTACATATACATATGTTTTTATGTACATGCTCCACATTGGCTGATTTAAACTCAAAGAGAAAATGTCCATGAAAGGCAATGTATATTATTAAGAACTAGAGCTTAAACTTACATGGATCCTGACCCTAACTTCACCAAGGGTTCAGAGACGTTTGGCAAGATACTTAGTCTAGCTGATCCTCAGTTTCCTCATTAGTAAAATGAGGATAATTATATAAACTACCTAAGAGGATTAGTGTGAAAGCAAAATGAGAGACATCTCTGGGGGAAATGGAAAGTTATCATCCTCCTCAACTCCATCACTTGGCATACAGTAAATATTTCTAAATGCTAATAAATAAGATTGTAAGATTATCTTTGGGAATTAATTAGTAGGAAATGAATAACCTTCATGAAGAAAGGTAGACTTTGAGAGAAAGAATGGGGGGTGGATTACAAAGATGGAAGTGGAAGATTATAACAGGCAAATTGTATATATGAAAGTTTACAATGAATAGGATTCTAAAGGCCTATTGCTAAATTGTATATCAGAGTCAAGAAGGAAGCTGCAAAATGGATTTTAGGAGAATTGGTGCCAGGTTACTTGGAGGAGTAGGCAGTGGGGTGGGGGGTGCATAACAAGGTGCTACAGAAGAATAGGAGGAGGAAGAAGGAAAATGTAGATCACAGTAAATTATTTTGCAATCTCTTTTCCATTTTATTTCATTAAATATGTCAGAGTGCCTGCAAAAGATTCAGGACACATTTTCCTACAAAATTATGGTTAAACTCTACTAATTAAGTCATTGGTGAACTACTACTAATGGTCGTATAGTTTTACAAAATGTATCTCATTGCTTCATGTCATCTTTCAAGAATGAGTGTCTTATAGTTTTACAAAATTTATGTCACTGTTTTGTCTCATCTTTCAAAAATGAGAGTGTCTTGTAGTTTTACAAAATTTATCTCATTATTTTGTCTCATCTTTCAAGAATGAGAGTATCTTTAGTTTTACAAAATTTATCTCATTATTTTGTCTCGTCTTTCAAGAATGAAAGTGATCTTGTTGCCACAAAGGTCAACAAGGATCTTTTATTGTGGCATTAATTGCTCTGGCCCACTAGATATTGAGTTATTGCCAATTCACTGTGCACAGTTGTTCAGGCTTTGATAACAAATACAATAGAATACAATAGAAATGATTTGGTTCTATTTATTTTTCAGCACTGCATATCCCAAATCATAGGGTATTAAAATATGGATCTCTCTGCTTGAAATCTCTTTCACTAATTTAGATCCCACATATGCAGTTTAAAATTTGCTCAATGGCCTGGCCAGTGTGGCTCAGTGGGTTGAGCATCATCCCATGGACTGAGAGGTCCCAGTTCGATTCAGGGTCAGGGCACATGCCCAGGTTGTGGGCTCGATCCCCAGTAGGGGGCATGCAGGAGGCAGCCGATTGATGTTGCTCTCTTCACATCAATGTTTCTATCTCTCTTTCCCTTCCTCTCTCTCTAAAAAATCAATGAAAACATATTTTTAAAACATTCCACAGCCTTTTGTTAAAGAAATAAATAAAGAAAAGAAAAGAAAATTTGCTCAATGTTTTTGGGAAAAACAAAATTTCAGCTGAAAAAAATTTCCTATAAGCAATTATTTTATTTATGAATAAAGTGACTTTATAAAAGAAAACAGAATTTATTAAATTGACTATTTATTTTGTTTTATAGACTATAACATTTTCAAAATATTTACATTCTTGTTTTTCTAGCTCTATGACATTTTTTTTCTCTTTTAAAAATATCACTATTTTTAGCCCTGGCCAGTTTTGCTCAGTGGTTAGAGCATTGGCCTGCAGATCAATGAGTCTTGGGTTCAATTCCGGTCAAGGGCACGTACCTCATTGCGGTTCATCCCCGTCCCTGGTTGGGTCGTGTGGGAAGCAACCAGTCAATGTGGCTCTATCATATCAATGTTTCTCTCTGTCTCTCTCCCTTCCTCCCACTCAATCTGATAATAAATGGAAAAATATCCTCGGATGAGTAATTTTTTTTAAAAAATTACTATTTTTAAAATGGATCATGAGCATAAAATATTTTCTTGTATGGCAAGATCTCTGGAATAACTGTGACAATATGACCCTAGAATGTGCCTTCATTCACTTAAGCATTTGTTCCAAATGTATATGTTGAATGTCTATGAGCCTAAGACCTTTTGTGTTACTATAGGGGACACATACATGCAAGAATTTATTACTTTCTAAATGCTTTTCTCCAAAATGATGAGTGAATTAACACCATTATCAATTATAGGTTACTATTCTTGCCCAGAGGGTCCAAGAAAGGGTTATAAGAACATTACATTTGGGGCAACTTTTGGCCCAGATACACGTATTCTGAGTCTCCTGAGGCCTTATAGGATCAATCAGGGCTGCAAAACATGCAATTCATGTGGGAGGACCTGAGCCTAGGAAGCCTTCTACTCTTTTTGACAAATCATGAACCACATGGTTCCTGTCCACCTGGGGTTGGAGATGAAGAAAGCACAGGTGAATCCCAGGCAGCAAGGGTCTTCCATTATACCTCCTCACTTTGGCCCAATCAAATACATTTAATAAAGAGAATGCATGGTAGTCAAGAGCCAAAGCAGTCTTGAGCTCTGAGAGGAAGCATGTCTTAAATGTCTTCATGTCCTATGATGCCTGCTCTCAGACAAATAGTAGGCACTCAGAAACAAAAATGAATTATATATGGTTGTGTGTGTTGCTTTATAATTTTTTAAAACGTTCTTTTGCCCATTTTTATACTAGTTATAATTTTTCTTGACTTACAGTTCATCACATTTTGCTGTTCCCACAATGCTTATGTAGCAACTTCCCCCCTTCTAATTTGCTGTTTGATTTACAGTGTGCTGGAAAATCATGTGCCCAAGCTTGTTAGAAGTATGTGTGAACTGCAAGTAAAGAGTTGTTCTAAGTAATGTTGGCTCTGGAGGCTCACTTGTGAGAAAAGCTCAAAAATTTCAGTCTTATGGCATTGATTTTTGACTGCTCAGAGGCTGTTTTATTTTGTTTTGGGGGCTTTCTCCCGTTGCCTAACTTCCTGGTTTTTAGCAGTAGTCAAAGTATATGGGAGATCTTTGGACAAGTCAGGTGATATGAGTTCCAGAAGCCCTTCATCATCTATAGGGGCTCTACTCTTGAATCTTCTTTTGAAGCAGGTCCAGGATTGTCCAATATTCTGGAATAATTTCAGAGTGAGTATTTTTAAATAACTGTAGCCAAAGTCAACTTTGAAACATTTCTTCATAAGAAAAAATCATTCTCTAGGCTTTTTTTTTTTTTTCCCCACCCCTGCCCCTGCTGGAATGGAGTTATACCCTCTTTGGAGCTCTAATACACCACCAGTAATTAATTATGATTGACACACTGACTTCCCTTTGCAACCATTGGAAGTCAGATGTGACTTCTACTTTCTCAGGAGCTATTTTGGTACCTAGAAAAATCTCTTTTACAAAATAGTTGCTGGATGAATGTGTTGATTAATTTAAAAAATTGTAGAGACATTATGAAAATATATTAAAAAGTCCTTGATTTATGTGGATTCTCCATAGACCAAGAAATTGTGCATTTAGATGAGCCTTTAAACAGCTAAGATGGATAACTAACTCAGTGTTGCTGTTAACTGCTCCTATGGTCTTCATGCAAATGGCCTCTGATA